CACAAAACAGTTCCAGCCAGTGGATTTGATGAGAAGAGAGTTTGGGGTTCTCTGGGAAAGATGTTACTTTCCTAGTAAAAGGGAAGAAACAAATGAAGTTTTCCCTACACCTTTCTCTTACTGCCTTGAACCTGGATGCAATGGGGGGACTTCTGCAGTCACTTTGTGTTCATGAAGTAAAGACCAAGAATATCCTCTCAATACCAAACCTGATATTGCTGAACAACTGAACTAATGCTAGCAGCTGCTCCTCAATGGGTGGCTTATGCAAGGATATCAGACTATTCTATTACACTATAGTTTAAGTGGGGCTGTCTGTGGCTTAAAGCTGAATACCTTCCTGACAGATTTTTCAATTAAAAAAATATTTTTTTGTCTTTCGTATCATAAAAAAATATTTTTTTTGTCTTTCATAATATCTCTCAAGTAAAATCCCAGGAGAGAATATGTCCATCCTTTGGCTAGAGGAGGGCAGGCTACTTTTATTAACAATCCTCCAGAGGTTTCACTTAATAGATGGATATAACTTCCCAAAATGCAGCGGTGGTTCTGTTACCAGAAAGGATAGGAACAGTGGCTAAAATCCAACATTCCCTGCAGTAGGTGGCATCATTACCTGTCAATGACACAGGTTTGTAGGTGTTTCTTACTTGCTTGGGGCGAATGATGGCTTGGCTAATAGTTTTCAGTTAACCTTTTGGACTGCTATTTGTCTTGGTCAGGAGTTTTTGACTAGAAAGGAAAAGGAAACAGGAACTTTCTCAAGTTATTTTAAGAAACAGAAAAAGGCAGAGGGTGTTATAATAAGGATAGACCTTACTGAATTCAAGGGAAGAGCTGTCCAGCCCCTGTAGTCCCACTCACTAACATAGGCTGTCACCTGTAATCTATAAACACCCTGAGGGCTTGAGTATAGATTATACTCTTCATACTGGAAACAGAAAATTAAGCAAACTGGTAACCCAACAGTGCTTCTTAGAGTAGAGCCTGGCACATAATAGGATCTCAAGTTGTGACTACCATACCCTTAGTTAAACCATAATTTTAAACCCGGTGTGGTGGTGCAGGTCTGTCATCCCAGCACTTAGGAGGCTGAGGGAGAAGGATTGCTGCAAGTTCAAGGCCATCCTGAGCTACACAGTGAGTTCAAGACCAGCCTGAGCTGCATAGCAAGACCCTGTCTCAAAAACAGAACAAAACACGGGCTGGGAATTTAACTCAGCGGTTCTACTGCCTACCTTGCAAGTGCAAGGACCCAAGTTCGATCCCCAATACCAAAACAAAACATCAAAAAAAAAAAAAAAAAAAAAAAAAAAAAAAACAACAACAACAATAAAACAACAAAACCCCTGAGGATGAGTGTGAATCATATACAGGATTGACCTGATGGGACTGGCTAACCTATGTCACCAAGAACAGCAAGAGTGAGCACAGCAATACCCCAGGGGAGCCTGTCACAGAAAGGAAGTGTCCCACTCTCCACAAGGAACCCCAAGTTTCCTAGTTCGGTGTTCCTGCAAGATGCATGCTGTCCCTCCCTTCCAGAAAAAAAGGGAGCCTCCTTACCTCCAATGGACCATCACAGGCCCCCACCTAGAAATTAAAGCACTCCAAACAGTCAATTATCCCAAATAATACACATCAAAGGGCAGGGGATTTAGCTCAGCGGTGCCACCATCTGCCTCACAAGTAGAAGGTCCTGAAAAAAAAAAAAAAAAAGTCCAAATAATATACATCTGAACAAGAAGCTTCCATTCCAATAAAAGATTTCCACTGCAAGATCATAAGTTGAAAACCGACAAAAATTTGAAAAGAAGAACCTTGCACCACTTACATCATTTGATGGGAAAATACAGTGTGGTCTTCTGTCTCAGACTCCTGCAGCTTTACCAACTACATTGTTAGTCAGCTTTCTGTCTCTGTAACAAAATACCTGAGATAGACAACCTCCTAATGAAGAAAAGATGGTTGCTGCTCTTGGTTTCAGACCGTTCTGTGGTTGGGTGGCACCACTGTTTCTGAGAAGGCAAGACAGAACCTCAAGGCAAGAAGCACAAGGCAGAGCCAACCTGCTTACTTCACGGCATCCAGGAAGCAGAGATAGAGGAAAGGGCCAGGGTCCCGCTCTCCCATTCTGGGCACGCCCCGCCCCAGTGACTCAACTTCCTTCCCCCAGGCCCCACCCCTTAATGATTCGGGAACAACATTACAGCACTGTTGGCTGGGGCCCATGCCTTCAACACATGAGTTTTAGGGGGACATCCAAACCCATTATATCCACATACCTGGCATCTCTGTAAGGGCAGCTTCCTATTTGCCAGAACATTTCCAAATGCATTCCTTCAAGTTTCACAATAATTCTTAAGGTAGGTGCAGAAAATTAAATCTCACAAAATTTAAAACAAAAACAAACCCGCCCTACGTTTATAACCAGAGGCACAGCGAATTAATTAGTGGATAAAGATATATAAAGCTGGTTCATTTTCTCAGGAGGCCCTGTGAGGACCAAGTTTCCAGGTCACAGTGGGCTCCATGCCCCTTACCCAGAATAGAGTAAATGCAAAAGTTCCTTTCTGAAAAATTCCATTCTATGAGGCAGTTTCTCTGTGCTTTGACAATTGCAGTTCCTCTTTTAGAGCATCTCCACCCTGCTTCTGTTCCTCTTTTTAAGATGAGCTTCTTTTTATGTAATTTAATGAATATAGGAATTAAGTATAGTTGATATAAAAGCTTCTTTTTGGGTGATCTAATCAATATAGGACTTAGTTATAGCTGATATAGGAATTAATTATAATGGATATAGATAGCCATATATCTTAGTTAGCAAAAGTCAGAAAAGAGGAATTGTCTACTGAAAAGAGGAATCAATTGTTTAAAGGCTTTAGGTAACTTTCCAATACGTACCCTCCCAGCACCGCATGATAATTTTACAAATGTAAGCATTAGGTCATGTTCCAATGTGCCCTCCCAATGCCCCTTGATAACAAGGGAAAACTAAAAATAGTAACAGAAAAATCCTATATAAACTTGGTTCAAAGTTGGATCTGGGCTCTCAGTCTGAAGCCGCTGTGACGGTGACACCTGAGAGTCCAGGCTCGAGCTTGCAATAAATTCCTCTTGCAATTGCATTGGACGTGACTCCTTGGTGGCCTTTGGGGACTTCGCCACTTGGGCACAACAGCCCAAAGTCTAAAACCTATATCAGACAGGTTCATATCTTAGGAATACACACATAGCATGTTATCACTTGTGTCTAGATGTCCCCCCAAAGCCTCATGTTGTCGCTGGTGGGACTTTTCAGAGGTGGATGGATCCAGAGTGTGTGAGGTTGGAATTAAGTGTGTGACGCTGGCATCAAGGGTGTATGACTATTAAATTAGTTCACTGGATGATTTGGCATAGTTCTGGGTGTGGATAATGGGAAGGCCCTCCCTGGGTGTGACTGCTGCCTGTCCTAGGCCCTGTAGCCTGGATAGACCCGAGGGGACAGAAAGAGGGCTGCTGTCATCACTTGCTGCTTCTTAGCTACTTCACTGCCTTCTGCCCATGAACTGTTTCTCCTCTGTGATGCCCCTCTGCCATGCAACTCTGCCTTAGAGGCAGCCGATTATAGACAAAACCTCAATAAACTCCTTTGCTCCTTTTACTTTGGGTGTCAGGTATTTTGTCTCAGCAACAAGAAACGTTAACTAAGACACAGCACAATGTTAAGTTGTGGGGCTGTGAGACGCAAAAATATGCCCGAACTTTGAAGTCCAGTACCTCCAAGATTAAATCAGACAACAGTCAGCATCCTTCAGGACATACTGTACCTACCTACCTACCCTTGCTCCCACAGCTCATGGCCCAAGAAGACCTAGTTGGGTTATCACGGCCCAGTATTGTGGACACCAAGAGCTTCTGTGAAGCCACGCGGACACTACTGGCCCTCCATTCATCTGGCCTTTCTGGTGTGACCTTTGGGGGTGTGTACTCAATCCTCAGTCTATGACATGAGCCACGGCAACTTTTTAAAGAAAGAAACCTCAGGCTTAAGCTCATTCACACGACCCTTGCTTACTTGAACTAAGCAGTACTATTCTTCCCATCTACTATCACGCAGATTCTGCTCTAAAGAACAACTCTTTTCCCAATGAACTCGGGCCAGGAAGCAGATAAATGACCCAAGACAGTCAGACAGTCTCATGCTGGAAAATGAATTCTCTGAAAGACTTCTGTCACTGCCCTGAAATGCATTTCTCCACAAAGTTCCAAAGAATTCATTTTCTGCCTAAGTGAGTTTTTGTTTCTTAACACCCATTCAGAATGAATTGCTTTGCTCAGCCTGTGGCTGTGCGCATGGTTAGCACTTTCTCGCAGCCTGTGGCTGTGCGCATGGTTAGCACTTTCTCGGGCAGAAGAATATCCTATTGAGGGAGGGGGAGTATGTCGTAATTTGTCTTGGAAGACGCAATTAAAAAGGGTGTCGAGAAAAACATGGAGCCAATAGAGAAGAGCACAGAACACCAAGCAGGGCTAGGTTGTGAAGAGGAAGTCTCTATCTTTCTCTCTCCAGGTAATGGCATCAACGGATGAAATCTGGTACAGCACAGATTTCTTCTTTCCATTGCTACCATTGAGCATATTGTGAAAACTGTCACACTTCTGGACCAATAACCACGCTCATCCATTTGATTAGATTTTATTTCCAGCAAAGTACATTATCGCATAGTTGTCTAAAAGATTGCATAACGCATTCATCTAACAGCATATTACATAGGATTATTTTTTCTTAAAGTTTATCAAGAAATTCCTCCTTTATTTGCAAAATCCACCTATGTTGCTAAATACAGCCAAGATCACAAGAATATAAATATTCTCAAGTCTCCTATATCTTGACAAAATTTAATGTCCAAAATCTCTGCTTTCCTAAAGAGGGTGTTAACATTTTTTGGGAAACACAGCTTCTGTATTTGTGGCCAGTGTAATAGCCCGTACAAACACATTTCATATAATCTGTGCTGAGTCAGCCAAAAGCCAGCAAGCTGAATGCAGACAAGTTAAATATGCGTGCGATCTGTCGCTATTAATGATGATATCCGACAGTCTAAATGGCAGCCCCAAAGGCTGTTCCCACTACATGCATTCTATGCGCACATGCACGTAGGGTCACGTTAAAAGCAAGCACAATACTTTTTTGTCCTGTGGCACAGAATGTTCTTTATGTGTGATGAAATCAAGCTATCAAGGTAATACCGCATTTCCAGCAAAAACAATCAGATAGCTTTAACACACTATTATTTTAGGGAATCAAAATTTACATTGAAAGACAGCAAAGCCCTTTCCTTCCTTCCTTCCTTTCTTCTATCCTTCCTTCCAGACCTCAAGTGTCTGTGCCCTGCCGTCAGGAAAGCCTACCCTTCCCTATACAAATCCTCTAACTGAGACAGAACAGTGATCCCAATCCCTCTGCAGTAAGAACTTCACTGTCCAGCCTGGGGTGTGGCTCAATGGTAGAGCGATCGTCTGCCATACATGAGCTCTAGCTTCCACCCACAGCACTGCAAAAAAACAAAACAAAAAAACCCAGAGATTTCTCCTGACGGGCCCCATCCACAGCACTGAGTGTGCCTACACAAAAGCATAAGCCAGGACATTAATGAAAGTGTTCCATGGGACAGAGAATACTGAAAAACAATCTGTCGGCACCTCCCTCACCCAAGTACTGATCATACCAGTTTACTCCACCCAAGGAACCAGAGGGAAATACCTGCAGGTTGCCAAGAACCCACTTAAGCTGTCACTGCAAAATGGTCCCTCCAAAGAGCAGAGGAAAATGTATGTAACCTACTGGACACACACACTTCTCCCTCCAGCTTCTCCCTCAAGGGCCCTCTCTGTGCATAGCACTGGGCTTCTCATCTCTCATCCATTATTTTATTCCTGCACAACAGGTTTCCATCAGACAACAATAAAGGCTTTGGAGAACAGCAGCAAGGAAATGGAAAAATAAGGGCAGAACTTGAGGGCATCCTTCCTGAAGCTGACTTAGAAGCAAAGGTTCCAGACTGCGGCCAGAAAGGTGGTCACCAGCAGTACCGTCTTCCCTGACAAGGCAGCTGCTCCATCGCGTTCCTGGAGTCCCGTGTTACACAGATCCTTCTGGCAACATCTGTACAATACCTGGTTCTCCTGTAATCTGGTCATAATGGTTTGTGAGCTGCAGTCAGCATACCTCCAACACTGGCGATATTCTCGTTGGCCTGTGGGGAGATACACATGAGGTGAAAGGTAAAATTCTGTTTCTGTCACTGAGTGCTTCTATCTGCTTCTTGAAACTTATCCTGCAGAAACACAGAGATGTAAGCAAGAACAGTCATCCTGGCAGGGAACAAGAAAATAAATGACATTATATTTCAACACAGAACCTTCTCACAAAACTGAAGTCTCAACTGGCTGCGGTGGTGCACGTGTAATTCTAGCACACAGGGAAGCTGAAACAGGAGGGTCACAAGTTCCAGCCCAGCCTGGGCACCTGTCAACTTCGTGAGAGGATCTCACAAAATAAAAATAAAAAAGGGGTCAGGGATTAGCTCAGTGTGAAGGTCCTCAGTTTAATATCCAGTACTAAAACCCCGAGACAAAACAAAATAAAAACACAACTGAAGACTTATAAGAGCCAGTATAATTCTTTTTTTTTTTTTTCTTTTTGGGTAGAAGAGGTGACAGATACTTATATTATTGTTCAAGATGGAGATCTGGTATTATCTACCCATGTTTTAAAATCATGCTCCATTTGTCCTAGCAATTTTACTTTCAGAGTTTACCCTATGATGGTACTTGTTGAAAAGGTCATGCTCAAGAGTTGTCACTGCAGTAAGATCTATTTATCAGGAAGCTGGAAAACAAGCAGTCTGTTCTTTAAGAGGTAAAGAAATTAAGGGAGAGTCCATAAAATGGACTTCCTTGCAGCTGAGAATGACTTGGTCCTGTATATTCTGGCACAGAAAGAATCTGAGTTCAGAAAACAAAAATAGAGCCTTTACATACACAACCTGGCCTGAGTCTTGCATTTGTCTCTGATAAAAGCTGGTGTCACCCAGTCTCCCTCCAGCCAACATCATGAGTAACTCCAGGAACCTCATCAACCATGAGGAAATAGTCTCTGAAGTATGCAAGATTTGGGGAACCAAGATGGGCTGTGCCTGGATGATCAGTAGAAGAGAGGCCAGTGTGATGTCCTACTCATAGTTGAAACACCTCTGCCGAGGGCCCCAATAGTGACAGCAGGCCCACTAATCCCTGGTGTCATGAGCCAGCACTTGTAGGAAACCAGCTTTACAGAAGAAGCCTCCAAGAAAGTACATCAAAGATTATCTGAAATCCATCAAAGGCAAATTTGAAGCAAAGAGTAGGAAGAATAAAACTTGATATTGGGGCCTACAGAATCCATCATAGGCTTGCTAATTTAAAAAAACAAAACAAACCAAGTCTTCATTGGAGGAAAGCATTAATTTAGACAGACAGCATGGTTGTTATTTCAGTCAGTGCTCACTAGAGCAACAGATCCAATGCAAGATATACAAGCGTTGCGATCTGGGTCTGGTTGTCCCCCTAAAGCTTCCTTGTGTCAGAGGTGGCTGAATCTGCAATGTGTGATGCTGGGATTAAGGATTTGTGATTACTAAACAACTACATGTGAGTGAGTGGGTTAGGATCACCCCAATCTCAGTAGTGTGGATGGGATAAAAGAGGCAGAAAGATGCAGAAAGATGATGCCTTTGCTACCTTCTGTGCGTCATGTTGTTTCTCCTCTGTGATACCCATTTCACATGTCTGTCATGGACTTGGCCAACTATGGACTGAAACGTCTATAAACTGTAAGCCAAATAAATCCCTTCTCATCTAACTTTGGGTGTTGGATATTTTGTCGCAGCAACAAGAGAAAAGTAACTAATACAACAAACATAAGAATTTACAAGATTGGCTGACGATGCCCACCCGCAGAGTCAGGTGTGCAAGAGTACAAAAGGGCCATCTGCATGCTGGGGATCTGAAGGATCCAGGGGAAGGCCTGGAGATCACTGTGGTTTCTTGAGTGAGTTCCTATCAAGGGTCCAAAGGGTCTGCAGTGGAAGGCTGAAGGATCTGTGCTAGAGGCTTAAGAGTCTACAGAGGAAGTCAACAGAGGACAAGTCAACAGAGGTGAAGGTGAAGACTGGAGTTCCTCTGAAGACACAGAAGCGAGCCTTCCTGCTTCAGTTCCCTTTCCACCATCCACCTGACAAGCCTAACCAGGGCGGGTCTCCTGTCCTCCACAAATCCCCTCAGCCACACCTGGAACTATGCTGACCCCATATGGTTGAGCGTTTCTTGCTCAAGTTGACGCAATCAGTTAACTATCACAATTGCTCTTCTGGGCTATGATGAGAATGGGATTCTCTTTAAGGATGGCTCAGGAATGGAAAAATGCTAACAAATTTGGAGGTCTCTTCGGATCCATCATGATAACTGGGTACTGCCTGTCATCCACACAACACCAGTACTTAATATACAGGGGAAAGATGCCATCTTGTCACTTATTTATTTTTGGTGCCAGGGATCAAACTTGGGACCTTGTACAGGTGGCAGAACCAGTGAGCTAAACTCCTGACCCCATCTTGTCATTTATTTAGAAAACAATGGCAGCATTGCCATTAAAGGGGAAGAAAAAGTGTCATGCAAGTTGTCTAATGATAAAGAATCCCTAAAGGAAAAAGGCAGAAAAATAAATTGGACTTTATCAAAATTTAAAACTTCTGCTTCAAAGGATATTATTTAAAAAATGCAGAGAAGGCCCACAAAAGAATAAAATGTTTGCAAATCACATGATTATAATTTCATACCCAGAATATATCAGAAAAACAATCTTATCACTCTATAATAAAATGATAAATATTCCAATTAAAACACGATAAAAGGATTTCATTAGACTTTTCTGCAAAGAAGATATGCAAATCAGAAATAGGTTATAAGAAGATGCAGAACATTGTTAATCAGTGGGAGAATCAAAATCAAAATCACGTCAGGTAAGGTGGCGCTTGCCTATAATCCCAGCAGTAGGGAGGCTGAGGCAGGAGGATCACTGTGAGTTCGAGACCAGCCTGAGCTACATAGTGAGTTGCAGGTCAGTCTCAACTACAGTCTCAACCCTGTCTCAAAAAATCAAAA